AAAAAAGATGTCTCTGAAGGTCTCTTGGGCAGCGGCACATCCTCCATAGGCCAAAGACCATGCTCTGCAATCACTGTTTCCAGCTGCCCTCCTCTTTCTTTCTCTCTCGACAGTAGCAGCTACTCATGACAGTATCCAGCAGGAGTCATGTTCTAGTTACTCAGCATAATTTGAGTCCATCCTCCACAACTGTTCAAAGGCCCATGACACCTCTCACTGATCGCCTCTGACCTGGTCAGGTCTCAGCACAGGGCTGTGAGCAACCTCCCATGCTAGGCGCTTTGAAGAAAGCAAACCATTTATTGTGGCCATGCACCATGAAGGCATTCCTACTTCTATGCACCAGGTGAAGATATTAAGAGACCCGATAAAGTGCAGGTACTGTCTCTAAATTCACTGTTCCCCTCATGCCACGTACTTAACAAACAAGCCCAACAGTTATTTTGTATGACATTATTTCACCTGGTGGTATTCAAGTTTTATTTTCTGTGACAGTTTAACATAATGCTTGAGAACATGAACTTTTAGCCAGACTACCAGGTTTAAAGTCTTGCGCCCAACTGACTATGCACTGACTGCCGCATTTCATTAGCACTGGTGTTATACTACATTGTTCAGGGAGTAATAACAAGAGCAAAAAGGGTTTATGTTCAATACAGATGCAGGGTTTTTTTTAGTATTTTCAACCCAAGGTTGGTTTAATCTACAGATATAAATCCCGAGACAGAAGACTGGCTCTATTAACCTGGGGGCACTATCCTAACCCACTGTTAATGAGTCAGTCAGTTTTTATCATTGTAGTAACAAAAAGCATAATGAGATAATCCTAAAGGAGCCGTACAGGTAAGGGCAAATAAAAAGCACCATCCTCCCATGCCGCAGAAGCTGGTTCCAGTTCTCTTCCCACAGAGGAGGTCCATCTGCAAGTCGGGTCAGTGTCCAGTGCATCTAGGACTTGTTCATTGCAACACCTGATCAAGAGGGCCCCTAAGATCCTAGGAGATTTCAAAGACAAGAGGGGAGATGATAACCAACACTCTCTTCCCAGTTCTGGTATTAAGAGTGTAAAGCTCTAAACTAAACAGCATTTCAGGCTTGAAACATGAATTAACATCTATGAGTGGAGCAGTTCTTACTAGGCATGATGAGGAGTATAACGCAGGGCTCAGCAAACCAGTCAGCACCTGTCTTTAATGTCTGTCGGGTCACAGCTGTGCTCATTCCTTTACTTGTTATTTTGACAGCTTGCACACTAAATGAGGGGTGAGTAGTTATAACAAAGATCATATGAGATATTTAATGCCAAAAATATTTTCTTTGGCCCCTTTTATAAAAAAGTAATGCTTTTTTATAAAAAAAAGTATTTTTTTTTTACCAGAAAGTTTGTATGAAGAATTTTATGTTTGACTCTTGATGGACAGTCTATCAAGAAAAGTGAGCTAAGGAAAGTAGTTTAGCTCGAGTTACCAGGTTAAAAAAACAAACGAACAAAAATACAAAAACATGAGTTCACCAAACTCCCATTTAAGGAAAAGACAGAATTTCTAAAGACTGGTCTTAACTATTATCCCAGTATGAGAATATTAAGAATGACCCATAAGGCCATGATTTGAACTTCCTAAAAATGCTTTAAATTAAAGCCTAGGGGCTGGAGATTTAGGCCAGCGGCACAGCATCTGCCTGGCAAGCGCAAGGTCGTGAGTTCGGTTCCCGGTACCAGAAAAAACCCAAAAAATAAAAAAATAAATTAAAGCCTGGTTTCATTCATATGAGGATACGTACCATGTCATTTTTGCATGACACAAATCATGTTTCATGGCATCTGCTCCCAAATGCCCACTGCATTTCAATTTACAGGAGAAAACTAGAGTTCCTCTAGGGGAATGCTCTTGAGAGAAAATTAGTCTGCAATCTGGAGTTAGGATCTGAATCCTAAATTATTGGACCAATAACCAATAATCAATCCAGACTTAAGATGTTTGTTTTGAACTGAAATAGATCGTCAATTCTCTGTACTCTCTAATGGACATGCATGAACTCATCAAATCTTATGCTTAATATATTTTTTAAGTCTTCAAATATTTTTAAAAAGAATTTGAGATTCCTATAAGCAGAAATGTGAAGAGTCCCTTCCCCTGCTGCTAAAACTAGCAGCAGGAAGCTCTCTTCCTGACTCCATCTCTTCTACCATATGAGCTAAACTTCACTGTTCATCATCAGCAAAATGCCGTGCATCCTTAACCTGTCTTCTAAACAGTTCCTTTGCCCTAACTGAGCCTTGGTTCTACCTCCATGACACTGTTTCCCGATGCTCTCCCAATGTGTACACTTGATCTTAACCAGAAGGCCACGAAGCAGTCTCCCACTGTCTAAAAGCTGTCCCAGCAGACCCACAGACCCATGAGTGACAAAAATAATTACTCACTGACAAGCCACTGAGAGGCTGGAGATGTTTGTTATGCAGCATGTACAACAATGGCTTACTCTAGAAACTGACACCAGAAGGGGGGCATAGCCAAAATCTCATTAAAATCTGTAGTACTGATTTTGAGACAGAGTGATGGGAAACAAGAAAATCCAGGAATTTGAAAAACATGATACAGTATGCACAGGAACCACTGGTAAGTATCCTAGAAGCCAAGAAATGGACCAAATCATGTTGTGGCAGAAATGCCTCCGCTGACCCACAGAACTGAGAGTAAAGGAAGTAAATGGCTATTGCTGTCAAGTGTTGCTATCTCAGGGTTACTTACTATGCAGCATCCTGGCAGCAATGGCTGAGCGTCACAAATGCCAGCCGCCCCGTTTGTCTCCTTGACTCATCTGCTCTTGGCTGTTGGAGGGTATTGTTACATTTGCCCTAGTCCTGAATTATCAGGTTTCCTACCCTGCAAGTTCATTCCCAGTATCTTGTAATGTCATCTTTTAAAGGATGGGGACCCCCTTTCTTGCCTACGTATATCTCCTGCTACTGCTCCATTTCTCCTCTTTATGGCAGAAGAAATTTAAGTACCCATGAACTCACACATGTTCACTCTATTGTTTTTCCTTCGGTTGTCTCCTGAACTCATACAAATCATGTTTATGCTTCTGCTGCCTCAAATGTACTCTTCTCATCTCGGTTGCTGAATCCAATGATTCTTTCTCAATGCTCCTTTTGTTTGATCAGTTAGATTTGAGACAACTCTTTATTCCTGCCTCTCCGTAACACTTTCTTCCTTAACTCGGTCTGCATATTGGGTGAAATTTCCCTGTGGGTGGATCGTATATTCTGCTCAGTGCAAGCATGGCCATATGAAAATGTCACCAATTAAGTAAGAGTAGAAATGACAGCCATAGCTTCAGAACATAACCTTTAAGAAATGACATGTGATTTGCTCTGTGTTCTCTGACCAGCAATGGCCCAAGATCAGACTCTAGCACACAATGGCCTGCAGGCCAAATCTGGCCTTCTGCCTTTCTTGTAAATAGCTTTAATGGAACACGGTTATGCCCATTAATTTACGTATTATCTTCAGCTAAATAGTTATGACAGACTTTAAGGCCCATAAAACTGAAAGTATTTCTGGTCTGTCTTTTAATTTAAAATAAAAGGGCTGCCAACTCGTGTTCTAGACAGAGGCTGCTCTGTTAACCTGCGGACTGAGGTGCAGATGACATGAAACAGAGCATTAGTTAATTTCAGATGGACACAGCGTGAGTGAAAAATTAATTTTCTTCTGCAAACTGCTACCACTTTCCAGAAGCTTATTACCATAGCATCATCTAGTATGCACATGCAGAAATTATGACCTGATGCTACGTACAAGGTGAGCACCACTGAATACTGTCCTTCCGCTTTGCTGCTCCCTCCTGTCTGGTCCTTGTCCCCACCCCCTGCGCTCTGCACAGCTGAGGGACGTGGGGTGCAGCGCTGAGCTTCTGCTCTTCAGTCAGCTTTATAACAACAGCTACATACTGATGCCTTCCGATTTTATATTCCACACCTCTCCCCAGACTCACAATTCATGGAACTGGCAAACAAAAGAGATTTCCTTTTTAACCTTTTCGGTCTAATAGGCATCTTACTGATGCATTATTAATTAAAATTATTACGACCCAAGCAAAGCAGAACTCCTGTTCTGGCGTCCAGGCTTTCTGTAGACTCTCCCATCAGAGAAAGTGGCAACTCCGCCCTGACTGGTCAGGCCACAAACACCGCCGTTAGCTCCCTTTTCTCCCACTCAATTGCTCAGCAAATCCCACTGCATCTATCTGCGACATACATCCCCCATCTGCCCAGGACCTCTCACAACCTCCGAAGCCGCCACCTAGGCTAAGCCACCGTGCCTGTCACTTACATTACTGCAACCGCTTTCTCTGCCTCTAGCCTCGCCCTACTACAATCTATTCTCCACACTGTAGCCACAATAGTTCTTTAAGCACAAAAATCAGTTTGTTAGATTGTTATGTCTCCACCATGCTTCCAGATCGTCTGAAGTAAAAGCCTAGGTCCTGTCACGCTCTGCCCGCTCCTCTGCTTGTGCCTTTGCCTCTGTCACTCCTCCCCGCCACCGCCACACCTCCAGCCACACTGCCCTCCGTGCTCCAGAGTTCTGCTCCTGCCACAAAACCAGACTCCCGCACCTTCTTAGGGCATTCGCTCCCATGGCCCCTCCCCAAGCCCTCCCTTCGCACCCCATCTAGTTTCATTCTTTTATCTGTAGCACTTACCATAGATAACCTATAATATGTACTTGTTTATCCACTGTCTCCTCAAACAGAAAGCTCCCGGAGACGAGATTATCAGGGTTTTCTTTCAGAATTACCTTCCTAGTGCCTCCAAGGGTCTCTGGACACACGCAAGTCTCTAACACTGTATTAGTGAATTAACAAATGAACCTGTGAGAGAAGAACCAGGCCTGGTCTGTATCTTACATTTCTAAGTTACAAACTGAGGAACCAAGCACTTACTGGGACAGAAATGAGGACAAAGACTCGGGGCACAAACACTTCCTTACTTTGTAATAAATCTGTTCTTCTTCTCTTGCATTTACAGCAAAGGAAATAAAATACAGAAATCAGGAGGTCTAGAATTCAACAAAATCACATTTAGAGCTCTTGGACTGGAAGTCTTATTTACAAAATCACAACTTTTAAAAAATATATTTTTTATATACTACTTTTCACCATCATAGAAGAGTTTTACCTCCAGGGAGTACATTTGTATGACATACCAGCATCCTAAGAAATGAATAAAACATTCAACTGTAATTTTTAAAACAGAAAACAATTTACTCAACAAGAACTAAGATCAGTTTTTTGAGAAGCAGTGTATGAAATTCAACTACTGCTCAACAAACCACCTTTCATTCTTTTCTGTTGTCAATCTTGCTGAAAACTAAAGAAGGTTTTTCTGTTAATCACTGCTCCAAGACTCAGATATTAATAAAAATAACCGCTTATCAAGCCAATTCTTTTAGAAGGAAAAGAACATAAAAAGGAGCAGAACTTGTTTACAGATGACCACAGCACAAGCACCCCTTGAACGAAGGCCTGCTCTTCCCACGCAGACAACCTGTCTCTTTCGGCCATGAGAACAGGACATTCTGTACAACGCGCACTCTCATGGGCACGGCTATGGGACATGAATGTGGCCACAAGCTGTGGACATGAAATGTGCTGCTTACAGTAACCAACATTAAATTTTAAACTGCACATTTTATAACAAGGCTGCTCCAGAATTATTTTGCTAAAGGGAAACATTCCCCCAAAAACTAAAAAAATTGAGAAAACAGTGTGGGAGGAGAGAGGGGCAGCGAGCACTTTTTTTTTAAATGCTGAAATGTCACATCCACCAAGCCTTTAAAGATTTCTCGGATATCTCTTTCTCCCCCAGAAACTCATTACTTGTGTTTCAGGGAAGACAGCACTGACATGCACTGGCTCCCTTATTAAAGATTTCCTTTTGCTGGGATCTTGGTGAGCTAATCATACCATTTTCAAATTCAGCTAACAGGTATCCTTTTTATGATGATAAAGCCATTTTATTCATTTCAAGTAAAGGTTTAAACTGTTTTATGACTCCAATGGTGGCTTTCACTTTTTATACTTACCGAGTCCTAAAAGATCAACAGTAGGCTCTGCAGCTTTTTTAGGGCTGGTACTTTTTTTAGGCTCCAATTGTTGATCTTCTTTCTTCTGTAGCTTTTAAAGTAAATAATCAAATTTATTAATGTTTTTAAAGCAAACAAATATTTTAAGCCTCAATTAATTATGCATATAGTTAGTATAACAAAGCTTATAAAATATAGTGAAATGAAGCCTTGAGCATTTGTTATTATACAAAAAACAAATATGGTCTTTTTTTTTTTTTTTTTCTTTTTTGAGACAGGGTCTCGCTATGCAGTTCAGGCTGGCCTTGATCTCACTTTGTAGCCCAGGCTGGTCTCGAACTCAAAACAACCCTCCTGCCTCAGCCTTCCAAGTGCTGGGATTACAGGTGTGCGCCACCACGCCTGGCTCAAACACAGTCTTTTTTTTGAGCGCTGGAACTAAGGAACATGCTCATGCTGGGCAAGCATGGAGCTGCATCTCCAGCCCCAAATATGGTTCTTGAACTTGCAATGACAATCGTTGTATACTGAAATCTCAAAACAGTGAATATAAAAACTTAACTCTCCATTGTTCTTAACCGTGACACACTGCATGTGAAATTGCCCTGTGTAAAGAAATGCATTTGTTGTTTCCTAGCTGACGGTAATGTTCTCCTGTGAGTGAAAGCTAGGGAAGGCCTTGGAGTCCTCACGAACACACTGTTAGTCCCAAGACAAGCCCAGTGAGGTGCTATTTGCAATGTGCCATGGCCTGAATCTAACGTCAAGTTTCATGTATTCAGAGGCAGGATTTTGGGAAATGACCAGATTGTGAGGGCGCTATGTCCACCAGTAGACTGACCCACTGATGAGTTCACGACTGAATGTGCTATTGGAAGGCAGCGCCTGGATGGGGCTGGGCCCCAGAGCTGTGACCTGGAAGGGTGTCTTCTTGTCCCTGGCTCCTCCCTTCTCACTCTGCTTCCTGGCTACCATGAGGTGAGCAGCTCCACTCCGCCACATCCCTCCACGACACCGTTTCCGGAACCAGCCTACCATGGACTAAATCCCCCAAAACACTGAAACAAATTAAATCACTCCTCTTTTGAATTGTGAGTGTGAAGTTTTGTCCCAGCAGGAGGAAAACTGACTAACACAGTGTCTTTTCCTCCTGACTCTCCATAAATTATTACTTTTGCAATATAGTATTTTTCTAGTTCTCAGAAGCCCAAGTCCCAGTTGTCTATTCCAAACTCTTTATTTTAAAAAATATTATACAGGACATAACAACTACCATGTTCTCACATGTGAAGTCCATGTCTAAGAAAAGAAAACATTCGTTCAACAATTCTTACACTATTCCTAGAAACCATTTCTATACTCAACAAATTTAGAACTTAGTTGTTATGATTTCACTTTGTATTACCATGTGTAATCCTTCCCACTCCATTTTCTAAGTTGCCCAGGCTAGGGCTGAACTTCTTAACCTTCCGCCCCAGTCTCCCAGCATGCTGGGATTACATGTGTATATGCCGCCTTGCCTGGCTCAGATGTGTAATTTCTAAGGACATAGATCCACCTTACTTTTTTTCAGTCATTACTGTCTTCTTCTGTACTCTTTAATCCATCAGTCTACTATTACAGATACCTATTCTTTAATAACCTTCTCCGATAAAACCTCAGCCTTGAGAGAACAACTGCTGAGCTTACAGGCGTGTGCCACCACACCCAACTGAAAGCATAGATTTTAGTAACAAAGACAGGAATTTTTTTCAACCAAGCAAACTGTACCAATTTCTTTGTGCTTCCTTCCATCTCCCTCCTCTCCTTTCTCCTTTCCTCTATTTAGTCACTACTGGACAACCTGTATTCGTAGAGAATCTGAGGGTCCAGTGGCCATGCACGTGAGAACTTCGACTATTCCAAGACCTGATCCTCACAGGTTCCTGGTGAAGGAATTCACTGGTCATACTACTGTGGGAGCACTTCTGGTGCTTATTTAAAACTCAAACCAAAAAGCCTTTAGTTGAAAATAAATAAGTAATTTGGCCAGACTTATTCACTCTGCAAATTAACTAAAATGTGGATATTATATGCCAAATGGGAAAAGATTACGAAGTGCTTACTTTATGCAATCCTAATTTAGAATCATTTCTCTGGTATAATACTTGACTCAGTTCTTTCACAGAATGAAGCACTAAACAGAATGAATTCTGAGGAATTCATTCCTAGTCACATTTTGTGGTCTAAGAACCTAGACCCCTTTCAATCTAAAATGATTTTTCAAAAAACTAAAATTTTTCCTACTAATTTCTATTAGTTCATAGAAAGGAACAGTTAGTGCTTATACTGTTTGATCAATTTTACATGCCTGTATCTTGTAATCTGAGCTACTTCAAAGATAACGATATGTAAAATAATAACCAATTAGTTTCCTATCATCTTGTTTTGAAATTCTGTATCGTTTTTATTATTTTCTTTTTTCCTCTGTTTAATATGAAAAATCCCTCACATTTAAATTCTGGTTTATGATGCATTTGCCACCAAATTAAAATTACTCTTTTAACTATTGCTGAGTAAAAAACTATTTACCACTGCTTGAAGGGGGCGGGGGGGGGGTGGAGAGAAGCCAAATCAAACAACCCAGAGGCCCTTCAGTAACTCACTCCTACCCACAGAACACCCACAATCTGGAAAACCTTTCCTTCCACATGTCCACATACCTATGTCATAGGAGTTGCCCTTCTTTAGAGATTTCAGTCCCTTCACAGTTTAAATGAGTGTTCATCAACCATGTCCACAGGACATATATAACAGAAAAGTATGTACAGTTGTGCAAGGTAAAGGGAAACATTAAAGAAACAATAAGGGAATACCCTACACATGTTAGCAAACTGCAGATGTGATCCACTTGCAGGTTTTGCCATCTATTTGATGGACTACAACTAGAAACTGTGGCTAAAGGCGAGGGAAGGGGGAAAGGAACAGGGTTCACTACACAAAATAAAGGTTAGTACCTATGAACTATTTTGCACACACGTGTGAGCACACATATGGATCACAGCATAAAATATATTTTGTACCAAAGTGGTAGGTTGAAAAACACTGTTCTAATGACTCTTCTTTTTTGGTCCTATATTGGGTCAAATTAAGAATGAGAAACATCCATGACCTAAACCATACTTCCCTAAATAAGAGTTGGCTGCTCGGGGGAATTTCACCCATGCAGACATGAATTACACTTAGAGCTGGCATCTGATAGTCTGTCCCAAGAAGCAAAAAGGTAAAAGGATCGATCACTTTAAACGCTGTCTGGTATCCTTCCATTCTCCAATCTTGCTGTGGGAGTAACTTAATCCCATCAATGTGTGGCTATTTTTGAGATTACTCTTCTATGTCTTCATAGTAATCCAGGTTCTACCTTGCATGCACTACTTAAGAGCTTACAAAAACTGAATTCAGACGGTACTCTTTGGAACGTATAATGTTAAACATAAGAAACTTCATTATTTTCATTTTGAAATATTCAAGGAAAGATTCACTTAAGCACCAAACTATATAATTAAGCAATTCTCCTACAATTCTGCACGAAGTAATACTTAATCTTTTAGAGCTGTGTACATATATATACATGTTTTCTGTGCGATGTTCTTAAGTAACTTTTGATTAAAAACTGGAAATTAATTCTCATTTACAATTAACGTTACGTATCTCTGCATAAAATAACAGGGAGAAAGTATTTACTTTCCTAGTCCTAAGTAAGTAATTACAACTAAGAATATAAACTCAGGGGACATATTTTATCTTATACACCATTATTATGCAGGTTCAGGAAAGCTAAAATGTATCTTCCCTTAACACGAAGATATACACAGACTTGATATTTAAGAAAAAATTTATATGCCTAAGTATTGTGTTTTATTCTGTTATATTGTACATTTAAGATCAATAATATTTCTGTTAAATACTGAACCAGAGCCTATTTTAAAATAATTGCTACTTCTAGCCATTAAATCCTGTCTACTACTAGGGCTGCTCAATACTGCCATATTATTAAAGCCGACAAGACAGATATTCAGTTCCTGACTCAGGAAGATTACAAATGCCTTAGCTAGTGAAGTAGGAACAGAGTGTTGAAGTGATAGATCGCCTTTCCTTGCTCCATTCTATAGTCCAATACCGCAAAATCAAACATTTAATGTTATCAAATTAGGAGCAGTTTTCTTCTTTTCTCCCATTACACGAGCCACCACAACAAGGAGACGTGATGGCCTTCTCATAGCCTGGATTTAACCAGACGGGAGCAGCAGTGCCCTACATTTACCTCAAAAACCATGTCTCAGGCCAATCTGGTCTACTTAGTTTACCCTATTCCTTTAATTATAAAACATACATGCTTAACATCAAATTTTATAAGATTTAAGAGTAAAAGTATTGTTGGGCACGGTGGCGCATGTCTGTAACCCCAGCACCTGAGAGGCTGAGGCAGGAGAATCACTGTGAGACCCCGTCTCTAAATACACACATTCATACATACACACCTACACACAATTATTATCTTGCTAGGAATTACAAGCAAAGATTGCTAAGTGGTGAAAGTATCAATGCCTTGACAATCATCTTCCCTCACACAGCTGTCACTCTTGATATTTGACAATTTGTTTGTTCGCACACAGTAAGCAGTATGTACAGAATTATTCTATTTAAAATTCTTCTGCTACTAAAAACACCCATAGAGAATTTGCCTTTTAATAAGTGAAGAATGTTGTTGATTGTGAATGGCTAACTTCAGGCAAATTATAATTTACTAAGCAAAGTTTTCTAACAAGCAAGAACACAGATAAAGCAATTTCAGATAAAGCAATTTTATAAAATGTAATCTCCTTAAATTCATTTGAGCAGATGTTTCATACAAATTATTAAAGCCTGTATTAGTAGAAGCTTCACTACCCAATCTCTTTGTCATTCAAGACAGTACTCCACACAGAAATGAATCAAAATTAGTTTCCAACTCTTACAATGCCCACATTTCCTATTTCTTTAAATAGCAGCTGAGACTCTGGAATATAGTTCACTAGTCTTTAGTTGCCCAGTTAATGTAGATAATAACAT